ACGTATGTAAGCCGTGTAAATAGATGGGAAGTGCACAAAGATTTGGCAAAAAAAATTAAAAGTACCCCTAATTCAACAAAAATAAAACCACATGTAATTTTATATGTGAAAAACTGAAAGTAAAAAAAAGACATGTACATTGGTACAAAAGTCAACTATAGCAATAAGAGATGTCTTTTTTTAATTTAACAAAAAGACAAAAAGGTTATATTTTATTATTTTTAAATTTATATTAAGCGTTTGTTACAAGATAAATAAAAGTAATAAGAATCAATAATTAATTAAATCAATTTTATTTTTTTCAATTTTGCTTTAACCAATAATTCTATTATAGTGACATGACTCCAGGATCCGGCACCAAAATGAGAAAAAGTCCGCAAAGGATTGAAACAGTGTGGTGGCGAAAAATGTTTTTGATGTATCGACCTGACGTTTTGTAATAAATGACGAGAACCATGAACCACGATTTCTAACTTTAATAATTTTTGTTTTTCATTTATTAAAAATTAAAATGTATCAACATATTACATGTTACAACAAGTTAGTTATTAAATAACGATAACAATGACAATTTAATTTAAGATTATATATAAAATATAATATTTGAATTTTAAATTTTGTATTCGTGTTATTGATGTGTGGAATATGTGGTGTGTGTGTGTATGTGTGTGTGTGTTATGGGGTAGGAGTTACAGGGAGTGTTATTTTATTTACTAGGGATGTTAAAACAGCAAGAAGGGGGTTAAGTATAAGTTTTAGTTGGTCGAGGAATTTGGTGATGATGTGTAGAGATTGATCGGGTGGTGATTTGTTGGCTGCGATTTCGGCGTATGACGTTTTTTCTTTTGAGTTTGAGTTTGAACTGAGGGCTTCGTTTCCACTTCTTCGAAATAAAGGTGGTTTAGCAAGAGTTGGAACAGGTTGATTTTCTTTATTTATTTTTTTAACTTTAGGTTTGGTGCGGTTTAATATTTTTTTAAAGGATTGGCATCCTTTATAGTTTGCAGTATGGTTTCCACCTCAATTTGCGGCTTCCTCCCGTTGTTTCGTGCATTCTTCAGTAAAATGTTCTGATCCGCATTTCACGCAACGCGGATGGTGGTGACAGTAGTTACGTGTGTGTCGGTACATTTGGCAGTGGTGACATTGAGGAGAACCGAGTTGTCTCTTTGGATATTCGAATTTGACTATTGAGTGTAATATTCCTGATTACTGACTATTGAGTGTAAGTATATAATTTATAGGTAACTACCTGCTATATTTTAAATTTTGAGTGGAGCGAAAAAATGAAAATGTAAAAAAAGTTGGACAAGTGGGTACCGCTCTGCTGTTCAGTAGTTGTAGTCAAGCATGTCGTTGTAATGGATATGTTATAATTTAATTCAATGATAAATCATTGTATAAGATAAACGAATTTTTTTTTTAAAGCACATCATTGTAAAATCAATACATTATTTCGCTAAGCTCCGCTCAGAATCTAATATCTAATTATTTAGAATTTGTTATTAACTTACCTCAATGTTACCAATAATTTATCTTCTGGAGTGATACTTTTTCTGAAATTAGTATCAGTTTTTCGAATTTCATAATTAAGTATTTCTAGAATATAATCAAACGTGTCGGACGTCGGTACTCATTCGTGTAAAATTTCTAAATTTACATTCGTAATTTCAAAGTTCATGAATAAAACATTTAATTGTATTATTTTAAGTTCGTTTCAAGTTCAAAGGATGAACCCAAAGTTTTTTTTTTCCTGTTCAATTTCTCTTAAAAGAAACCATAAAATAAGAATAGCAACGTCCTCCTCGTCGGACGAAATTTTGACGACTACTTGATATACTTTGATTTGACTAACTATGTTTTATCTAGTGAGCGACAACAATGCTTTATTATGACTAAAGCAAAATGACTAAATATGACTTACATTTCTTCAGTCAATTTTGCTTTACTAGTTTGCGGTCACCCTAACTAACCAATTGATTTGGGGTTGATTGAATATGGTCAAAAACTATGAGTTCTACACATTTCATAGTTTTTATACGATTAAGTATATTGTTAATTATACAATAATATTATTTGTTTAAAAAAAATTATTTTATAATTCATTCATAGCATTAAACAAAAAAAAAAAAAAGTATAATCCTTAAAAATATAATAAGGTCAAACGAAAAAAAGTACCAAGTAACGTTAGACGTATGATAACGAATTTTTGCCAATGTATTTTCATAGCATGAATTAAAATATCTACGTAATGTCGACTCGTCAGGAATAGTTTTTTTGCAATCTTTTGTTAAAAATTCACGAAAATGTTTACTATTTAGTTTATTCATTGGAATATTTGCAGCTACCAATGTTGAACATAAATCGGGTACCGTCTACCTATCGGTACCTATATGCTTTTATTGCCACGAATCCGTCTTCAGTGTACAGTGTACATATTTCATTTTTCACACCATTATATACAATTTAATTTATAAAGCTTATAATATAGTATGATGCTAAATTAAAAAAATTTAATTTAAACATTAATGTTTAGTGTTTATCGAATGAAAAATAATAATTGTTGATTTTTGTGGGGTATAAAAACGCCATGTGTAACATTTTTTGTAATACTGATATTTATTTATATTCGATGAACGGGGGGCGGCGAGACAACGACCACTTTTTTTTGTTCGGGCTCACCGGGGCTCACGTATTCCGCGTTCAGAAATAAAATGTGTCTACATCCCCCGAGTAGTTCATTGTTCATTTTAGTCGTGAAAATGTATGCTAATTACATGCTAATTATTGATCGAAAAAAATTTTTAAAATTCTTAAAATGTCGATTTAGAGACGGGCTGGCGTGACGGTAAAAACACAAAACTAGATGTGGCTTTGTGCGAATTTTTATGTTGGTCATGCTAATTATTGGTGAGATCAAATTATGAATAACTTAATTTTTCATCTGGGGTGGGCTGGTGAAATATTGCGTCAACCCCTCGCCCATTGATTTTTTAGTTTTGTGGTAAAACAAATGTCATGCATTCATTATAACTACGTGCTAAATATTTGTGTGAAACAAATTTTGATTTTCAGAATGGGTCGGGCTAGTGCAACGTACATGATAACCGCGCATTCACGTCTTGCCGCCGACATCCAATATCCATAGCCTATATATATATATATTATACGTGCTAAAAGTAAAAATATTTTTTTTTGTTTTCTAAAAATATATACAATATACAGTGTTGATTATTTTTATTTTTATTTTTAATAATGTGGTGGGGTTAAGTACTCCAATCGTTGGCATGCTGCATGCGCAGGAATTTGGTATGGGGTGTGCCATGAAGAAAATGGGCCTTAACAAACCTAACCTAGGCCCAACTCCCAAAAAACTAGAAAGGATTTAATAAAAATTCATATTGGTTAGTACCTACTTGTAACGTTGCAACTAGTTGTATAGGTACTTGTGTCTTACAAAAGCATTTTTACATTCTTTAACAAATATAATAAATAAATAATATTAAAAAAATAAGTGTGTACTAGAACTAGACACTAGTATACTTCATTATACATTTTTTACTTAAGTCGTTTGTACCGAGGATCATGCATTTCATGCACGTTTTTTTCTAAAGATTACAATGCTTTTATTATTGCATAATGTTAATTTTACACATTTTTGCCAATTAAATTCTAAAGTAAATATAGTTGTTCAGCTTATTTATTTGTAAGAATAAGTAAACATTAAATAGGATAGGATTTGATTCAACCTTCAATAGGTTGTTCCTTATTTTTAGTATCCTAGTAGAAAAACTCAATATATTATGTTATCAGAACAACATGTAAATAATATAACAAAATTATCTAAACAACTAAAAGAAACAATAAAAAAAAAAAATCAGGTGTTGCTTTAACTCCAAGAAGAGTTTACATTAAAATTATAGTGGGAACAGTGAACAATATGGTAATGTTAAAACAATCACCCAACCGCAATAAGCGAAAATCGACGTGCAAATGTGTTTAGCATTAAGAACACTAACATTGTAGAAAATTCAACTCTAAATTTCTATGTACAAAATACAAATTACAATCCACCATAAATGGTAAATATGTTCTTTTACAGTTTTACACAACCAACTGATAACCTAAATATTTTACTGATATCATCATTACATAGCATGATTTAAGATAATTATCTTAAATCATGTTACATAGTATAATCTATTCATCTGTTTATTGATAAACCAAAAAAGTTTATAAATAGAGCCATAAAGGAAAGTTGTGGAAGTTGTGACTGTCAATAAATTGTCTTTCTAAATTTGAAATAATAATTCATGATCAAATACTGTCAATTAAAAAACTTCGACCTTCAAGAACATTAGGAGGCATAGTTACATTGGTTATTAAATATTAGTTGATTGTTCAATGCAAAATAACAGATCATTCCAACAATTTGTAAGTAGGTAACTAACTAACTACCTAATGTTAATTAAAAATAGCTAACTAAAAGTTTGGTTTTTCTCTAATGAAAAAAATATTATAGAAAGAAGAAAATAAATTGGAAAATTATAGAAAATTGACTTAATAATACAATCTCTAGATCTACCGAGTGCTTCAAACTATTCACTGTTCAGTATTCTCAAATTCAAATTTAAGAACATGATGAGAAAAGTTCAGAAGAAACATAGCTTTTATAAAACTTTATTGAAAAGCATACGCGGTGGCACTTCCAAAATTATAGGAATGACTTCTCATGATGAGACAATCTTATCTCTAATTGGTAAAAGAGGCACTGGATTCATCAAAAATGAAAGTTGGAGTAGTGATGTTGGTAAGTACCCTAGTAAAATAAATTATTATAAACCAACAAAAAAAAAATTTTGATTAAACCTATATAAAACATCTATATTCATTAAGTATTAATTTATTATAAACAATAATTGTGAAATAAAAATATTATTTTTGACAAACTTGTTTGCAGTTTTTATATATAATATCTTTAGTTGCTGTATGACGTTTAAAATACTACTTTTTTTTGTAATTAATGAATTTATGTAGGTAGATTTGATTTTATCAGTTGATATAGTAGTCACTAGTCATAATATGCTTGAGAACGATGTACTTGTTGATACTCTAGAAAAAGAAAGTATTCATCTGTAATTTATTATGTAATTATCATGGACCTATCAATATATTAATGAGTCTATGGTAATAGTACATTATTGTCATACATGCATACAGTAGGTAGTACATTAGTCAATACTTACTGATTATCAGTAACGAATAGAATAGGTATAAAAATGTCATTAAAAAAAAACAGTTAAAAATAAATATTAAAGTTGAAAAACTATTATTACTTATGCTTTTGCCAACGCCATCATGATATCAACTGTTGTAAGTATCAGACTAATGGGCCTTTTTAATTTTTAACTAAATGGCTAAATACATTTGCATATGGATCAATAACTAATAGATTTGTGTATGTTCAGTTTACAATATATTAGTATGCTGGATGTAAATAATAAACTTCAGGTACTTAATAAATTAAACAAATAAGTATGTACTAAATGTAACTAATAATTTCTTAGCTATGAGTTATTTATGGTCAATTTTAAATTTCAAACAAATGTTCATATTTATTATCACCAATTAATTAAAAGTTCTAAATGTTTCTATTGTAAAATTATCTTTATAGAACCATATGTTTACTATTTATGCTGCAAAATAATGTGTTACATTGGGTATTTTAGATATGTTTTGATTGCGATTTAGACATTAATTAAGCTTACTGTTTTTTACTTATAGATTGTACCTAGTACAGTTATAGCACTTAGGTACCTACTCAAACAGGTATTTATTAATTTTATTAAAGTATACAACACAAAAATTTAGAATAGATTTAATGATATTTCAAATATATTTATTTTTAAGCATGGTATGAGCATTTTTAAATTGTAATATATACACACTTATAACTGGCTTTAAAATTAAAAATCTATAAAACACTGATAATAATATAGTAGTTACTTTTGGGTTCAATAATATGTCAATGTACTCTAGTATTAAACGTGACCAAACTAAATGTGAACTACTGAACGTAAATTTGTCATGGTTTGAACCTACAAGCATTGCAATAAGTAAAACAGGGACAACAAATACGATAATGGTGTATATTATATTTCTTGTACATAGTTTAAATAAATATATTTTGATAGTTCCTAGTAAGTATTATTTCTAACATTTTTTTTATTTTTCACGTGTTACCTTCACATTTTAAATCTCTTATACATCTTAAAAATATAAATTATATTTACAACATATTGATTTTACCCATATCTTATAATAACTATTACAAATTAATTTTATAATTTAATTAAATTACATTAAAAATATGTTAAATTTGTTTTCAGATATTTTTATTGGTGGCTTTAAGTCATACGTATGTCTCTATTGACATCACATTTCCTGTGTTTGGAAATTATACTCAAGGACAACCTGCTGCATTTGGAGATTTTGATTCTGATGAACTTACAGATATTTTTGTACTTAAAGATCATGGCCGATCTATTGAAATTTTGTTTGGTTCTAATTTTGAACCTTTTTTAAAGCCTGGTACACAAACAAAATGCAAGTTTAAAAAACACCAAATTACATCGGTGGTGCCCGGGGACTTCAATGGTGATGCTCTTATGGATCTACTGGTTACTGTAAAAAAACCCATAACATTTACATCAGGAGGGATTTTCAATTTAATTCAAGGAATTAAACAGGATAATGATTTAGATGTACATATTCTGTGGGGAGGATTAAATGTGTTGACATGTCCAAATGAAGATAAACCTCTTTTCACTATTATTGATCAACCTTTGCTTATTAACTATGATAATAATATGATAGTAGATTTATTTGGAGTCAAAAGAATGTTAGATGGTACAACAAAAAGAATGTTTTGGCTATTTAATTCAACTGGAGACTTTACAGAATTGGCAATGGAAAACTATAAACCTGAAGAGATAAGAATTCCTCAATCACACGGATTTGTAGACGTAGGTGGAGGTTAGTTTTGAAAATAATTATATTTTTACCCATCAAACCACCAAATAGGTGATTTGGTTCTAAGATTGTCTTCAATGTGTGTTGTTTTGAATGACAGTATTTAAAATTGAAATTTTTTATGTTTTAAATAATTACAAAAAAAAAAAACAATTGTCAATTAGTATTGGGGCTGTATTTATTTTTATCCTTCTGGTATTGGACTAAATAAATTATGTCAATCGAATTTAAAGAAATTAATTTTACATTGGGTTAATTTTTCATCACATTTTTAAATTTGAATCACAATCTTTAGTTTAGTGGAAAATTATTATAATTTATTTAGGTGACAATATTATTTTCAAATATAATGGATTTGCTGAAAGTTTGAAAAACTGGCACCAAGATCCTTAATTATTTTATACTTTATAGTATAAATTCCTTGTTAAATTTGATGTTGAAAATTTTTACCTGGTGGTATCTGATGGTGATATAAATTTAATATTATTCCTAAAATATAATATTAATCACCCACGTAGTTGAAGCTGAACAAAATATTGTGATGATTTGAATGTATTTCCTTTTTTAAATATAAATAATGTATTAAAGTATACTCAAAACATCAAAAAATATTATGATGAAAGGTTTCTCTCCCTATGTTCTTTCTTAATTAGAATGTATTTTCCTAATTTGTACTTATTACTTATTTATATAATTATTTTCAGATATTGCACCTGATTTATATATAACGACTACAAAAGGATATGAAATATGGCTTTTTGATTCTGAAGTTGGTACATTTATTTTTAACCATACTATCCCATTTCCTGACAATTTAGAGTTTACAAATGTTGGTCAGACTGCTTTCATGGATTTACAACTAAAAGGACACATGGATCATATTGTACCTGTTTGTTTTGATACACTATGTATCAACAGCGCTATTTATTTTTATGATTCAAATTGTTGGTATAAGTTGGACATAAATTTCTATAATGGTAACAGTGTTTGGGGATTTGTACCACCAATGCCTAATGTACCATACCTAGAAACAATCACAGTGCGACCCGGTGATTTCAATATGGATGGCTACCCTGATTTGTTGTGCACATTGTGTCTTGGAGGCAGTTTAAAGAAAACAAAAGTCATTTTAATGGAAAATGTAGCTTGTACGACAGATTGTGATGGGTTTGACAGGACTTTTGTTGTTCGATGGGACTTACTTCAAGCAATAAATGGTGGCAATAACAATATTATGGGAACATTTTATGATTTTTTTCAAAATGGTATATTAGATGTATTGTTGTTTAGTGAAGCTAACGGAAAGTACAGTATGTCAGCTTTCAAGAATAGTTTGGACTATGATGCAAATTTTTTAAAAGTACCTAAGTACATTTTTTAAAATATTTTTTTTGTATGCTTATCATATTTTGTTATTTGTAGGTAATGGTTGTTAACGGTTTAACAAATAGCCATTTTGAAATGTTATCTGGTCGATTTAGAAAAAAATCTCGAGCATTCAGTGCTAACTTTCCTGGACCAAAAGTTAGTTATGTGACTACCACCCAAGATGGGTATCCACGTCAAGGTACAGCTACACAGTTACCCCAGTCTGCATATTATTCTCTTTACTTGCCTTACACAATATTTGGACTTGGACGTACTCCTAACTTTGTCGATGAACTTACTGTTTCGATTTTAAATGAAACCCGTTGTTGGACACAAATTATCCCAAATTCCCAAATGGTTGTAATCGTAAATTCAATAAATGATTCAAGTAGATGGAATGCTAAACTATTTCTGACACCAAGCAATTTAATATTTCAAAGTGCAGTTGCACTTGCAGGAACATGCCTACTTATTTTAGTTACAATTGGAGTGCTGCACTTTAAAGAATCAGAAGAAGATCGCATTGAAAAACGCAAGGAATCACATAAATTTCATTTTGATGCTATGTAGAAAAATTTTTTTACTTACTGTGATTATTATTATATTACTTCCTATTTATTGTTCAATAATAAGAAAATACAAAGTTTCTTTATGTATGTATTCTGTACCTATCTAATTAAAATTTTTATTTCGTTAGAAAATATTGATGAATCTAAGTTTAGTCTGTTCATTTCAATCAATTTTCAATTTGAGTTAGAAGCTTATTTTATTTTAAGTCAAAGAAAAAAAAAGGTCGTGAAGTCTGTACTGATCTGTGTTATGTGGATGTGGGTCACTGTAATGGATGTGTCAAATTTGAATTCAATAATATAAATGTATTATATACTAATGACAATTTTGAGTGAAAACTATATCAGCTTAAATTACTAAGTGTATTTTATGATATTATTGTTGTTATAAGAAGTAATTTTTTTATCATTAGATATGAATAGGGAACGGATTTTATTGTAAATACATATTTTTATTGGAATGAAATATTTTTAAACTGATAAAAAATGTGCACGATTCAGACCATTCTTATTAAAATAAGCCCAATTTTATTTTACATATTTTTACATATTTGGGTAAAAATACATATATTCGCATATTTTGTAAATAACTGAATATTTCGTAAATATTTGGGTATTTTTGGTTTTTTTTGTCAATTTACAACGACGTCAAAGATTATTTGCCTTATCTTAATGGCATTCAGATACCCTATGGTCTATATATTAATATTATACGCTATCGACGAAAGCCTAAAATAATAATATTTGTAATTTTCAATGACGATAAACATTATCTACGTTCTCTAAATGGACTTACGTACTTTATACACTGCTATCGTATTATACACTGTGGACAAGTGTGAAGTGGGTAGTTAACATGTTTATTCAATGTTACGGTCT